TTTTTTTTTTTTAAAGAGCTGGGAATGTAGCTCAGTGGTAAAGCACCCCTGAGTCCAATCCCAGCACTGCAAAAAAAAAAAAAAAAAGAATAACAACAAAAAAACCTATGACTCAAAGTATGAACATCTTAAAAATATGGGCATACTATAACAAATTCCCAGTGTGCTGAGTCCCCTATGAGAGTAACTAAAAACTTGTTTTGTGGAAGAATAAAAGAGAAATTATTTTACTATTACCAAGTTTGAATACCTCAGGGGTTGGGAGTCAGTCTCAAAATTACATTTATAAAGGGTATATTTTAAATTGCTTTTCTTAGTAAACAAATGCTATCTTTTGAATCAATATTAATTCAAGAGAAAAATGTTCTAATTATTAAAAGATTAAGGGCTGGGGATGTGGCTCAAGTGGTAGCGCGCTCGCCTGGTATGTGTGCGACCCGGGTTCGATCCTCCTCAGCACCACACACCAACAAAGATGTTGTGTCCGCCGAGAACTGAAAAATAAATATTAAAAATTCTCTCTCTCTCTCTCTCTCCTCTCTCACTCTCTCTTTAAAAAAAAATAAATAAAAATAAATAAAATTAAAAAAAAAAAGATTAAAGTACTTCAGTCTCTGTATTGTAATTCATAGGACCAACAGTTAACATATTTTGGAAACTACAATTAATCTAACATAAAGTTACAAGTTGTAAACTTGTGTCAATTCATCTAAATGTTTTATATTGATACTCAGTGATTACAATTTCTCTGATTGAAATACATAAACAAATGTACAGGCAATAATATAAGCAGTACACATTAAATGCCACTACTGCCTAAATTTGATCTAACAAACGAATAACTTTACAGTTAAAAAACACGTTTTCAGGCAGTTAAACATATTGACACTAGGAGTAATATATTCTTCTATGTATGGACCACAAAGGTGTTATAATATATTCTTGCATGTGTGGACCATGAAGGACTTGGCTAAATGTATACTTTCAAGGTGCAAAGAAAAAAAACAAACCTTTTAAGTATGACACTGGACATTTCTGACAGCTTGAAGATGATAAATCAATTAACTCCCAAGTATTGGCTTCAAATTAAGCAATATTCCTATAGAATTCACAATTCACAACTTAAATTACTACCTAGATTATTAAAAAGCTGCTCTGAATATACTACACAGGGATGCAAAGAATTTCTATATAAGTACAGTACTTATTTTTTTTAAGTAAAGTACTTATTCATTCATTCTTTACTAGATTTTTTCCCCTCCCTGAGTCCACATCCACCAATTATSTAATACATATTACAAAATCAATAGTTACCTTAAAATATTTTATACCACTCTCAAAATGTATGATTCTTATGGTACTTATTGTACTTTGGCTTCCAATAGCCCACTGGATATAACATGACCATGACCGCTTAAACAGCTACTGGTGTGTCTCAGGGCATCTGCTCCAAGATAGGCCATTAAAAGTTCCATGCGGCGAATGAGTAACTGCATGAGGTCTTCTGCCAAAGTCTCTATACTTGAATAGCGCACCTTCTCAAAATCAAAAATGTCTTTGAGAAAGAAAATAACTTGATTCTGGAGAATGAACACAAAACAAATTGGCATGTATTAGATCGAAATTATATTAAATCTAAAGAGTTACTAACATTATATCTAGCATTATATCAGGAGTCAGAACATCTGAACTCCAGGGATGATTTCACATCTCATTGGAAAAGAGACCTTGAACAAGCCATGTAACCTTTTTTTGGGTCCCATTTTCTTTTTGACAGATAAATATAAGATAATACCACCCATCCAATTTACTACTCAGGGCTGATATAATGATTAAAAAGAAATCTGAGARAAGTGCCTGTAAACCCTAAAGCATGTATAAATGTGAGGGGCTATTTATTAGCCTTTCCTTCATTGTTTCCTCTGAGTACTGGTACTACTTTAGGAGAAAAATAAACTATTTTCAATAATCATAAATAATTATTAAATGTGCATTCTTCTGTACAAAACCCCTTAAGACACAAAAAATAAAAATAAGTCCAGGCCTCAAATCAGAGAAAGACCTAGAAGAATATTTTACCTCAGTAAGTTGATACTTATTTTGAAACTCATCTCCCCCTCCCCCCTGGGCTATGGACCAAACTCAGGCCTCAAGCATGCTAGGCAAAAACTGTGCCACCGAGCTAAATCCCTAACCCCTGACACTCATTTAAGTACATTTACTTAAATGGGTGGTATACTATTCTTTTTAATAGTATACTACTATTAAGTATACTATAAATTGTAAATTTCAATTGCCAGGTCATGATGAAAAGAAAGTAATTCCAAAGAAAAAAAGCAGGAATATATCATTTATATCCTCTAGAAATCAAATACTAAGTACGAACAAGACATATAGGTTCACTGGATTTTATATTCACAAGGGTAATTAGCAATCAACCTGTGAAGTCCCATCATTTTGAAGACAAAAGGATTATTTTTCCCCCAAGTCAGACTGTTCATTAATGACAGATTTAATTCGCAGCTCAATTTTTTCAATTAAAATACCTTACATCTGGGAGGGTAAGTAACCTAGTTAAAAATTAATGAGTTCTAAATGACAGTAAAATAAACATTTCCTAAATTATTTATACAAATATTACATCAGTAGCACATAAACATAGTAACTTAATTCAAAAATGAATATATAATGAAACACCCAAACTTTAAAATTCATATTCAGTTATGTTTACTTTTAATTGCTCCTTGAAACTCAGCCTACACCTTATTGAATAGAGACACTCCTTTGGCACTTTGCCAACGACATATTCTTCAATGAACTTTACTGTGTGTTTTGGCAAACATAATTGTCTGACATTAGGATACAACTTTAAACTCCCATGTTATTTCTCACAACTTGGATTTTATCGTTCATATCAGAACTTACTGCACTAGGATGGGGAAAGTGCTTGGAACAAATTATATTGGATAAATTGTACTGTTATATTGTGTATTGTGTACATATACAAATATGGACCATCAAATTCCATTAGTATGAACAATTATAATGCACCAATTTTTAAAAAGTGGGGAGAAAATAACTTTCTGCAATAAAAATATTGCTTGTTTATAAATTTCAAGTATCTAGGCATGAAGAACAAACTACATGAATTCCACTGTAACACTGTAACACCATGCAAGACAATGACAGAAAGAATTGATAAGGTGAATGGACTCAGTGAACCTATTCTACACTAAGGCACCAAATCTATAGAGCACTGGTTCATTTTAATAACAACATTACTATAAAATGTCACTAATTCAAATTGGTCACCTGAATTTAAGTAACCTGTAAAACTTCACATTTAAATAAAATTCTTTCTTCTACAAGCAAAACCAAAACAGAATAAAACCTTATCCATTTTTTAAAAATATTTGTTTTTTAGTGGTAGGTGGACACAATAACCTTTATTTTATTTTTATGAGGTGCCGAGGATTGAACCCAGTGCCTCATGCATGATAGGCAAGCACTCTACTGCCGAGCCACAACCCCAGCCCCCTTATCCACTTTTTGATTCACTAAAAAAAGCAATAAATCAATATATCAATGACTGAACATACCTTAAAGAAGCAACATAAATCATAAAGAGAATTTCTAGGACCCAAAAAGCCCCAGGCGAGGACAGGGCTTATGTGCTCACAAATGGCATAAAAATGGGCAAAAAATCCATCTGGGATCTGTTGGGAAGTAAAAAAAGAATAGTTATTTTGTCTCGTACTTACTTCCTCTAGCAGAGAAACTGAAATTGTTATCTATTATATCATCAGCTCTTTYTGAGGGTAAGCCAAGAGTCAATCATGGGCCAGTCTATTTAAAAATTAATAAACTTAGAAGTAACTTTCAGAGTCAAAGAGTGTTTTTATGTGGATTTCATATCCTAGCCAATATTATTCCAGATATGCTGAGAAAAGTGGTTTTTCTTTCTTTCTGTCCCCAATTCCCTCTTCTCTATTTTTTGGAACTGGGGATTGAATCCTGAGGGTGCTTTACCACTGATCTAAATCCCTAGCCCTTTTTATTTTGAGAGAGGGTCTAGCTAAGTTGCAAAGGCTGGCCTTGAATTTGTGATCCTCCTGCCTCCTTATCCTGAGCAGCTGTGATAACAGGCATGCACCACCACACTTAGCCACATTTTAGAATATGTGAATATACATAATGAGATATCTTGGGGATAGAATGGAAGTTTATGCATGAAATTCATTTGTACTTTATACACACCTTATAAACTCAGCCTGAAAGTAAGTTTTCACAATATTTTTGGTGTACTTTCATTTTGATTGCAACCTGTCACATGAAAAACATTGTGAAAATTTCTACTTGTACCATCATGGCAGCTCTCAGAAAGTTTCAATTTGAGAGCATTTTGAATTTTTCATTTTCAAATTAGGGATGCTCAATCTGTACTTCATTAAAACAAACAAAACCAATCATGGGGCTGGAGTTGTGGCTCAGCATGTATGAAGCACTGGGTTCAATCCTCAGCACCATATGAAAATAAAGAAATTAAATAAAGGTATTATGTCTATCTACAACTAAAAGAAAAAAATTTTAAAGAAAAAATCTTAAAAAAAGAAAGCAATCATGCTGTGTTGTAAATAAGCAATAACAAGAATGTTACAATTCCTTAGCCATATAAACTTTAGGAGTATTCTTGAGTATTTAAAAGCTTTACTAAATCACTTAATGGTATTAATGAAAATGATTAAAAAGAGTTCAAATGATTAATTATTAAGTTATTTTTACTAGAACCCTAACCTTTAGTTAAGAAATCCAATATTAAAAATTTAATTGTGTAATTGCTTCTTCTTGTGAACTATTAATACATATGCTTATGTTTTAGGAAACTGTTTATTAATAACTTTCTGAATGTCCTTTGTTAAATAACATCCTGTGGGATCTGTCATAAAGCACTGATTGGGATAATTATGCCTTAAGATTTTGTTCATAACCTACTTGAATCAAATGTATGAAATATGATATGTCAAGAGCTTTGTAATGTTTTGAACAACCAATAAAAAAAAAAAAGATTTTGTCTTTTGGGGTTGGGGATGTGGCTCAAGCGGTAGCGCGCTCGCCTTGCGTTCGTGCGGCCCGGGTTCGATCCTCAGTACCACATACAAACAAAGATGTTGTGTCCGCCGATAACTAAAAAATAAATATTAAAAAACTCTGTCTGTCTGTCTGTCTGTCTCTCTTTAAAAAAAAAAATCTTTAAAAATAAAAAAAAGATTTTGTCTTTTGGGGCTGGGGTTGTGGCTCAGTGGTGGAGTGCTCACCTCGCACGTTCGGGATCCTGGGTTCGATCCTCAGCACTACATACAAAATAAACAAGTGAAATAAAGGTGTTGTGTCCAACTACAACTAAAAAATAAATATTAAAAAATTCTGTCTTTTGGAGGAGTTGTTTTTTATTTTATAGTCTCCAGGACAATCTTTTAAACCTCAGTTTAAAAAACATGACAGCAGCAGTTATCATTTAACAAAGAGTACCCACTGTATTCTGGATAGTATGCTACATTCTAATTAGTTTGCTAAAACATTCTTGGCAAAACAGATCATGTTACCATCATTGTAAGTATGTGAAAAGTGATATTTGGGATGGTAAACAACAAGCTACAGCATACCAGCTAGCTAGTGGTGAAGGATGGAAAGTTATCAGGCATTTACTGAGTTTATTCTAGTCTAAAACATGTTCTACATATATTAAAATTCTAAATGATACAGACTCAAGTGTTTTAGGAGTTCGAGAAGTGAGAAATTAGTGTGGGCTCAAACAGAAAAGATACAYTTTGGCAAGGAACATTGAGAGCCAAACTCAATAGTAGATTAGATTTATTTAAGTATAGAGGGAAGTTTTACATTCCATACATAGAAAATAGTTCTTCCAAAGGTGAGATTTATAGGTATTTGTGGATATTGAAAGAAGACTAGAATGAAGCATAGTATTTACTCTAAGAAGTAGGAAACAGGGCTGGTGATGTAGTGCAGTGGTTGAGTACTTGCCTAGCAAGTGTGAGTTCCTGGGCTCAATCCCCAGTACTGGGAGGGGTGTGAGGGAAAGGAGGAGAAAACAGAACTATTGGTAATGATGTTATTACTATCATTATGGAAACTGTTGCTTATTAAAATCTTTTAAGATTACTTTTAACTTTATGTTTAAATTAAATTTGTTATATCATTGATATTATCTCATTTCATACTGACAGTAGTTTTAAAAAGTAGACATTAACTCCATTTTGCAAATGGGAAAACTGAAGGTCAGCTAATGGTTGGTATTTGCCATGATCGTGCTAGCTAGTATGAGAATCACACTCAGTCTACAAAAAATCTGTTTTCTAGTGCTAAACCAGTTTCAAACATTATCATTTATAATAATCATTTAGGAAACGCATTATGATTTGAATGTGAGGTATCCCCCCAAAAGCTCCTGTGTTACTGTAGGAATGTTTAGAAGTGAAATAATTAAGACTGTGAGAGCTGTCACCTAATCAGTCCACCCTAGTTTGAATGGACTAACGAGGTGGTAACTGTAAACAGGTGGGGCATGGCTGGAGGAAATAGGTCACTGGGGTATGTCCTAAAGGGTGCATGTTCCCTGTGGGGTCCATACCCCAATCTTCCTAATCCCACCTTGAGCTAGGTCCTTCCCCGATAATGTCTAAAAGATGTCTCTGCCTCATCTTAGGCCCAGAGCAATGGAGTTGGCCATCTATGGACTGAGACCACTGAAATTGTGAGCCCCAAATAAACTTTCCCTCCTCTAAGTTTTTCTTGTTGGGTACTTTGGTAACAGCAACACAAAAGATGACAAATGGACTAATGCAGAACCTGTTTAAAATACAGGGCTTCTGGAAAAATCTGAAATAAGAATTATTCAAATACAGGGTCTCTGGAATTCTTTCTTTTGGTGGTGCTGAGGATTGAATTCAGGGCCGTGCACCTGAGCTACAATTCCATTTCCAACTAAAATTATTTCTAACAGCACGTACTGAAGATATTGTGAGGATTATATTCCTGGCATTATCAAAGTTAATAAATACTGAATTAAAAATATGGATGATAAAATATTACAGGTCCTTGAGCAAATAATATAGTAATGGGCAATATTTGTATAATGCACTATGCTAAGCACTGTTAAGCACTTTACATTGTATATTCACAACAAATCCTATGAGGAACTGGGTGTGGTAGCACACTTTTTGATTCCAGCTTCTTGGGAGGTTGAGGAAGGAGGATAACCAAGTTGGAAGTCAGCCTTAGCAACATAACTAGATTCTGTCTCAACAAAACAAAACAAAAAACAATCCTATGAGGTAGATACTATTATTATCCTCTTTTTAGAGACAAGGGAATTGAGGCACACAGAGGTTAAGCAACTTGCCCAAGGTCACATTGTTAATAAGTAGCATCTGAATCTCACTTCAGAGTTTATGTCTTTAGCCACCAGTACTATATGGTGAGAGCAATATGTAGTGGATGAAATGGGCTACAAACTTTTGAGACTTTTGGGGTAAGTACCTAGAACTAAATAAAGCAGCTATTAGAATCAAATCATTAATTCTCAGTTGGATTATATGAAGGAGAGACCACTATATTACTAATTTTTAAAAATAATATCATTAAACTAAAAAAAAAACATAAAAGCCCTATTAGAGCTATTCTAACCCTAAATATCTTTAGTTGAAATCTCACATATGCCTCAATACTTGCTACACTAAATTATACAGAACATTAAGGAAAAGGGAGAAGGTATTTAAAAAAAGGACCCAGTACCAAATAAGTCACTCATCAAGCTTGAGGGATAGTCCCTATTATTATCTGCCATCCTTATATGAGAACTGACATATTTTAATGATAAGATCCTCAAATTGTTTCACAAAATAGCTGCTATGGTTTGTCCCCACCAAATTCATGTTGCGGTTTGGTTCTTAATGCAGCAGTGCTGGGAGGTAAGGCCTAATGGGAGGTGCCTGGGTCATGGAGGTGCTGCCTATGTGATGGATTAGTGCCTTTCTCAAGTCTAGTCAGACTGCATTAATTATCATGAGAACAGACTATTATAAAGTAGGGCTGTCCCTGGTGTTTTGCCTCTTCCCTATGGGCCTGCATGTTCTGCTTTCCATCCTGAGTTGAAGCATCTCACCAGCATAGCTGGCAGATCTTAGACTTACCATTTCAGAACCATGAACTGAATAAAATTCTTTCCTTACAAATTAGTGAGTCTCAGGTATTCTGTTTTAGCAACAGAAAATGCACTAAGACAGGAGTTTAGGGAATAATGGGTTTTACCTTCATCTGTTCCCTTTTCTGTTTCAGCACTGACCAACAACTTGAAGCCACAGCCTAAATACATGCAGAAGAGAAAGACAAGATTAAATTTACAGCTACACCAACATTTCCTTTTAGAAAAGGGTGATTTTTATTATAATTCAAAGTTCAGGGGAATAAAATGTCCCATTTATAATTTCTTATTTAGTCCAGGTTCCTTATATTGCTTGTAAACTTTAATAAAAAGATACTTCATTTTTACAAATTTAAAATTTAAATATATAACCCCTAAAGAAAAAAGGTTTAATCTGATGCTTCAATTACAATTAAATTCTTAAGAGTTCTTATCTTATATTCTAAGGAGAAAAAATGAAAATATATGTATATAGATGACATACATAAACAAATGTTCCATGTTTAAAAATAAAACAAAGTAGTACTTTTTCCTTCAAAAAACAGGAAATATTTGTGAGTAAACATTTTTATTTAAGAAGTATGAAATTATAACCATGATAGGACAAAAAAACCAAATAAGTAAAATAAATAAACTTATTCAGCACATTCTGAATAATTCTGACCTTACTCTTGCATGACCTAACTTTGATGAAGGTCACTTTACCAAACAAATTCCAGAGATGAAGAACACATACTTTCTATGATCAAAAAAATTTAAATCAGAAGAAGGTAGATTTATAAAAATACTTCAAAAACTAAAAATACTTTAAAACATAATATGAAGGTTAGGGTTGGAATTCAGTGGGATATTACATATATCTACCATGCACAAGGCCCTGGGTTCAATCCCCAACACAAAAATGAATAATGAGGAAATTTCAAAATAATTGTGAAACTGCCAATAGGAACTAACTTACTTCTAGATGCATATTTAAAGCCCATCAAAAATCAAGGTCAGAGAATTAAATATAATAAACAGACTGAGAATATTCAAAGTATAAAATATGGCTTGAGCCTATCTTATTTTTATAGCTGCCTATTTTTTCTCTCATAATTTTCTTTCTTTCTCTATTTTTCTGGCCCCCCCACCTTATACTAGGGATTGAACTTGGGCACTTTATCACTAAACTATATCTCCAGATCTTTTTTTTTAATTTTATTTTTGGTACCAGGGATTGAACCCAGGAGCACTTAACCACTGAGCCACATCCCCAGCCCTATTTTGTATTTTATTTAGAGACAGGGTTTCACTGAGTTGCTTAGCACCTTGTTTTTGCTGAAGCTGGTTCTGAACTCAAGATCCTCCTGTTTCAGTTTCCCAAGCCACTGGGATTAGAGGCGTGTGCACTGTGCCCAGCCCAGGCCTTTTTATTTTTAGACAGGGTCTCATTAAGGTGCTGAGGCTGACTTCAAACTTGTCATCCTTCTGCCACTGCCTCCTCATTTGCTGGGATTACATGCTTGTGCCATCATAACCAACTTCTCCAAATTTTGATAATATTTAGGAATATAAATATCTCTATTTTCCTCTTAAAAATATACATTGTCACTTAAAAAAACTATAACTTCCATATTTCAGTCTAGTCTTTCAGCCATTTCCATTACAGATAATTTTTTTGTTAGGCCTGAACTATCTGAAGTCTGAGTTTCTTTAGAGATCTGAAGAAATATGAGGTTTACTAGATCAAGGCTAGGACTGGTAAAAGGGTCAAAACGAGAAATTCATCTGAAGGTGTGATATATATACACATACATATCTGATTCTACTATCAGATAATAGGCTCAGTTTCCACAGTAGTCATTCCACAGGCAGATATATATGTAAATTTTATTGTTTTTCCCAGTTCTGATCATTTTCTTATAAAATTTAAATGGCTAAGAAAGGAAAATCACTACTTACAGTTTCTTTTTCTTTTAAAGTATTTATTTTTTAGTTTTTTTTTTTTTTTTAGGTAGACACAAAATCTTTATTTTATTTTTATGTGGTACTGAGGATCGAACCCAGTGCCTCATGCATGCCAGGCAAGCTCGCTACCACTTGAGCCACATCCCCAACCCCACTTACAGTTTCTTTGAAGGAAGAGTTTAGCCAGCGATTATTTACTACATTCTGTATGGATGTTGGTGGGTTTTCTAGGTCTTCAAAAGAATCCATTAATATAAAATCCAGAACAACATCATAAAAATTTAGATTTTTCACCTGCATTAAATTGGGAATTAAAACATAAATTATTATTACAGAGAGATGGAATAAAGTCTGAGTCAAGGCTTCATACTTGGGTAACAGCAGGGTTTTCTTTTTTCTGAGTCAAATCTGATTATATTTCTGACAGAGATGAAGAGAAGAGTTAAATATGAAATATCACCACCAGAAATTACAATTCACATGGTAGCTGCTCCTTCCTGGATCTCATCAAGTACAATTAATTTCTCATTACTCTTTATTTTATGAGTCCTTTTCAGGCTTCCATTAGATCATCCATATAATGTTCATTCTACTTTGTTACTTAGTTATTAGTATATCTACTTGTCTTCCTACCAGATCACAAACCTCCTGATTTTCATTCCTTCATACAGATTGTTATATACTAGACTAAGTGCTTAGACTTCTACAGTAAGCAAACTGATACCTTTTGTCTAGTCGGGAAAACAGCAACAAAATAATCTCACAAACATCCAATGACAAACTCTGACAAGCACAATAAATGAGAAAGTACATGAGAGTCAAAAATGGAGATTTTGATTTTAAGCTGGATGCCAGACAGAGCTTTTCTTGGGGGAATGAGGCTTCCCAGGTAGAAAAAATTCTTACCAGAGACTTTAAGGTGAGAAGGAACAACATGGTGTTGAATTGAAAGAAATCATTGAAAGAATGGCGTTGTTATATACTAGACTAAGTGCTTAGACTTCTACAGTAAGCAAACTGATACCTTTTGTCTAGTCGGGAAAACAGCAACAAAATAATCTCACAAACATCCAATGACAAACTCTGACAAGCACAATAAATGAGAAVGTACATGAGAGTCAAAAATGGAGATTTTGATTTTAAGCTGGATGCCAGACAGAGCTTTTCTTGGGGAGGTACAAAAAATTCTTACCAGAGACTTTAAGGTGAGAAGGAACAACATGGTGTTGAATTGAAAGAAATCATTGAAAGAATGGCATAGTACTCTACAAGAGATTGGCAAGATCCAAGAATGAAGGGCTGGATCCTGCAGGGATTTATGGCCCATGTGAATGAGATTCCATTTCATTCTCACAATATTTGGGGTGCAGTATGGGGTTGGGGATGATAGAAGAGAGAGACCCATGATTGATTGATTGATTGATTGATTGATTGTACTCGTGATCTAACCCAGGGGTGCTTAACCACTGAGCCACATCCCCATCACTTTTTATTTATTTATTTTGAGACAGGGTCTTACTACGTGGCTTAGGGCCTTGCTAAGTTGCTGAGGCTGGCTTTGAATTTGTGATCCTCCTGCTTCAGCCTCCTGAGTCACTGGAAGTACAGGTGTGCACCACCACACCCAGCTCCAACTGTATTTTTTAAAGATCATTTTGGTAACAGTGTAGAGAGTGGAACAGAGAATGGAAAGAGTAAAGTGGTGGTGGGAGTTGGGGGCCAGGCAGGGAATCAAGGAACACAAAGATTCTGAGGTGGGTCAGAAGAAAGGCAACAGACACTTAGGCCAAGATAGTAGAGACAGAAAGAGAAAAGTTGAAGAAATTAAAATATATTTAAGAGATAAAATTGACAAAACTTAGAGATGAATATGAAAAAGTGGAAGAGGACCAGGGAAGGGTAAAGGATGAGACTGAAGTTTCTGGCTTATAGAACAGAAAGGATACTGATCCCATTCATTGAATAAAGGAACACTATAGAAGGAAAAATTATGCCTCTATGTTATAAACCTGTTTTTTTCCTCCTTAGAATGCCTTTTGGTGCCTTTTAAATTCATTCTTTAAGCTACTACAACAAGATGCTCCAGGCTTATCATGTGCTCTTTCTGTCTCGGCACTGAAATAAGTTATTTTCCCAAGGAGTCCTAGTTTGTTTTTAGTGGAATGTGGTCATTAGAAATCCAAGATCTGTGTGCTGAGAATAATTTTTTTTTTGTAATATTGTTACTTCCAGATCCTCTCAATGGACAGAGCTAGGAAATATTATTTATGTACATGCAAATTTTTCCATTTATATTTATTTCTACAATAATATATATTAGAATCTATAAATTCACACTGATAGCTCCAATTCTGATCTTGACTTTTTATACCTTCCTTCTCCAACAGTAAGAATCTGCCTCTGATTCTTCTCAATAAAATTATTTGTTCAATTCTTGTAACCAATCCCCAGCTCCACTGAGCAGACTATTGTCCTATCTGAAACCACTTGCATAGGACACCATTACTGCCCTGCTGAAGATTGCCAATTGACTTTTAGATGGAAAGAAGGTAGGAAAGAAAGGAGGAAGGAAAGTGGGGTGAATAGAGGAAACGAAGGTTTTTTAAAAACTATTTACCACAATTGGCCCAAGTATAAAAAAGTACAGTTTCTATTATTTATGACTCTGTCAGAACACTGCCCTACCACCACATAATTGGTTTTACTATCACTTAACAATGAAACAAAGGCCTCAACTCACATAAACATGCACAAATAATGAAGAAAAGTTTAGAAATTATAAAAATTTTGAATTTACCCCTCTGGCAGCAAGTTCCATTTCAGTACTAGCCCAGTGATCAGTTTGCTCTAAAAAATACATCATTTCATCAAAAACATCTTCAAACTTCTTTGGATTCTGCAGATGAAAATACATTTTAATCCTAAACTCAAGCCTACAAAATAAATAAGTTGCTTTTCAAGTAAGTTTGCTGAATCTTAATTATTTTAAGTAACTGAATTGAAATAATTTTTCAAGGTATGCACATTTATTTCATTTATTATCTTGTTTTTCTAATATTTTTCAGAAGTCAAGAATGAGAATGGTAATAAAAGTTCAAATCAAACTGTTTATTACTCAAATATGTATGCCTATTTAGGTCAGTCTTTAAGATGAAAATATGCTTTAGCAGCCATTATGAGATGCTTTTGTGGTTCCTCTTTTTTTGGAAGAACTCAAGTTCAAATTCCTGGTTTTATCTGCTATGAGAAGGCCAAGAAAGGAACACAAGATTTACTCTGGGAATTACAAGTAGTTAATATCACCTTATGTTTACTTAATACTTTACATTTTAAGTTGCTTTCCCTTTTATCATTTATTTAAATATAATTCTATTATATAAATGAAGGAACTGAGTCGAAAGGAATTGTATCTGAAAACCAAGTACATGCAAATGATTCAAGGAAGGCCCTGTTTTATTTATTTTTTCTCTCATCATGTGGACAAACTGCATAAAATAAAGTGATTCCTTATAGTCTGAATGAAGTTCTGTCCTTGTATCTACTTTATTCAGTCCCATGAAGATAAGTAAGAGGCATCTCTATTTGTATTCCAGAATATTTCTGGATATTCTGTCCTTTAACTTTCTTCCTGAACAGGATTAAGGGAGGTAAAAGAGGAGGTATTATTAGTCATAACAACAGTGGTGGCTATAATAGTAGATCTAATGACGATCTTACCACGACAATCACAAACTTTATGGCAAATTGGGAATAATTCATGCCAAACCACGTAGTCAAAAAGGTATGGATATTATACATAGGAAATAACAACCCAAGTAGAAATCAATGCTCTTTGGATGATGATGATGATGATGATTTTACTATTATTTTGAGGTGCTGGGGATTGAACCTAGGTAAGCATCCTAGGTAAGTACTTACCATTTAGCTACTTTCACACTCSTTTTTGAGACAGTGTCTCACTAAATTGTCCAGGCTGGTCTCAAACTTGAGGTCTTCCTGCCTCAGCTTCTAAAGCAGCTGGGATTACAGACATGAGCCACATGTCCAGTTTAGATGATGATGATGATGATGATGATGACGATGATGATAATTTTGTGATACTGGGGATAGAACCCAGGGATGCTCTGCCACTGAGCTACATCCCTAGTTTTTTTTCTTTTTCTTTTTTTTAGTACCAGGGGTTGAACCCAGGTGTGCTTAACTACTGAGCCACATCCCTAGCCATTTTATTTTTTAATTTTGAGACAAGGTCTCACTAAGTTGCCCGGGCTGGCCTTGCAATCCCCTTGCCTCAGTTTCCCCAGTTGCTGGGATTATAGGTTTGTGTCACTATGCACAGCTTGGCTTAGATTATTATTTTTTGGGGGGCGGGTACTAGGGATTGAACTCAGGGGCACTCGACCACCAGCCACATCCCCAGCCCTATATTATATTTCATTTACAGACAGGGTCTCACTTGAGTTGTTTAGTGTCTTGCTACTGCTAAGGCTGGCTTTGAACTCACATTCCTCCTGCCTCAGCCTCCCAAGCCGCTGAGATTACAGGCATGCTCCACTGCAACCAGCTTTAGATTATTATTATTTTTAAAAATATTTTTGAGTTGTTGATGTACCTTTATTTTTTATTTATTTGTATGTGGTGCTAAGAATTGAACCCAGTGTCTCATACATGCTAGGCAAGTGCTCTGCCACTGAGCTACAACCCCAGCCTCTAGATTATTTTTAATATGTGAACCTTTGCAACTATCTACAAAAACTTTTCAACCATTAAAAAACTAATGTACTTTAATCTTCAGTTAAATGAAAATAATAATAAAAAAACTTGCTAGCAAAAGTAGTTTACCTTTCGTGCTTTCACAATTAAAGCTGATAAAATTTTCCTTCCACTCTCTGCAAGGAATATCCTGTTGGCTGTTTCTGAAAGAATCACCTAAAAAAATATCCATCCCAAACAAAGTAAAAAAAGACCTATAATAAAATTGGACATCCAACTTTATAGCACATCCACACATAAATAACCTTAATATAGCTAATACATTGCATTTACTAAATTAAAAAAAGTCCACATTAAAATAAAAAGCTCTTGAAACCTATGAACAAAAAAAATATTAAAGGGAGATAAATCTGAAATTAGATTTTGTTCAATAATCAAAAAGTCTAAAATAAATTTATACAGTCCCCAAATATAAGACTTCATTTTTTTTTTAGAAAATGACTTTTAAAAATCCTAAAATACAAACCAATTGATAATAACAAGGATGATTTTTAAATAGCCCCAACTCTTTTTGAGCAGTATTGGGGGACTGAACTCAGGGGTTCACTGAGCTACAAGCTCAGCTTTTTTTGAGGGGGTTAGGTACTGGAGATTTGACCCAGGGGTGCTTTACCACTGTGCTATATCCCCCAGCCCTTTTTATTTTTTATTTTGAGACAGGGTCTTGTTAAATTACTGAGGCTGACCTCAAAATTGGGATACTCTTGCCTCAACTTCCTGGGTTGTTAGGATTACAGGTGTTCACCACCATGCCCAGCTCCTAAGCAGCCATTTTTAGATACTTATAGCATCAAAATACTATTACTGATTTGACAAAGTGCAGTGACTTGGGAGCCACGGAAAAGTACAATGACAAATGGAAACCAAATAGCAGGGAGGAAAAATATACCCTATTAGGCTTTATATCAAAAGGGTAAAGATGAGTGGTAGGTAAAGTCACTTAATGTTTGAAAAAATACCTGAAAAGCCTGTCGAATACAATGAAGTTTGGCAAGAAAATCACTGTCTCCCAGGCACTCCAACATTTCAGTTCTGTGTAATAAATAGAGAAGACAACTGTTAAACTTCATTCAAGGTCAAGCTGAGTACAAATATGAACTCAAACAAGGTTAAACCTCAGGACCTCAATATAAAATATATATCTTCCCTATACTGACAGAACATGTGAAAGAATTTCTTTTCTAACAGGACCAAAAACATTTTTCTTTATTCTCATAAACATAGTTTCAATAAATACCACACAAACATACTAACAGCAACTTAATATTTTCCATAAACATACGCTAAACTGGAGAGGTACCTCAGTACTCTGGAGTAAATTTTTCCTTCTTCAACTAAATGCATGGCTTCTTCATAAAAAGGGCAGCGGCAAAAAGACTCCAGGCTGTAGGTATGCCGTATTTCTCTGTGTTCTGCAAGCTAGGAATACAGTGTTAACACAGATGACACTGATACAACAGGAGGAACTAAAAGAAAAAAATGGGATTTCCCTATTATCAAAATATGCTAAATTTGATTAAAACAAAATCTTCACCAACATTTTATAGCTAATAAAACCTAATTTACTTCAAAATTCAGTTGTTAAGGAGTAAAATTTTGTTAAGAAGCTTCATTCATTTTGAATCCAAACATTTAAATTCACAGGGTACATAAATAAGCAATATCTTATTATTTATCAATAATAATAACTGAAYAGGATGCATTAGAAAAAGAGAGAGAAGCTAGGTGTGGTAGTTCAAGCCTGTAGTTCAAGTTACTTAGGAGACTGAGGCAGGATGCAGGAGGATCATAAGTTTGAACACAGCCTGGGCAATTTAGCAAAACTCTGTCTCAAAATACAATAAAAAGGGTTGGCTCAGTGGTAGAACATTTGTCTAACATGTGCAAAGCCTGGGTTCAATCCCCAGTAGTGTTGAGAGAGAGACAGAGAGAAGGATGAGGAGGAGGAGTAGGAGGATTTTTATCATCCAAAGAGTACTTAAAAGTATAACTCATGAAGCAAAACTTTCTACAAAAACATGGAAATAAGCTTGACTTGGCTATTCTAAGAAATTCTGTCTTATATTTAGCTTTGATTAAACTTTGTATAACTCAAAGTCATGTTCTTCTGGCTAGCAAAACAACTCTACAAATTCCAGCCTTCTGACAGTTCATTTAAAAAATAACTGCAAATACTATAGAGGAGCCAACTTAACAAAAATCCTCTGGAGTAATTTTATTTTTCAATATGAAGTGATCCATTTAATGATACACTGCACTTTTTCCCCCCTTGTGTTACTGGGGAACCCACGGTCTTGCCCATGCTAGGCAAGTGCTGCTCACTAAGCTACATTCCCATTCCCAATTTCCCCATTGTTTTTTATTTTTATTTTTTGTTTTGTTTTGGGGGGTGATACTGGGGATCAGCTCTTTACCAGTGAGCTATATCCTCAATCCTCTTTGTTTTGAGACAAGGTCTCATTAAATTACCAAGGCTGGCTTCGAACTTGTGATCATCCTGCCTTTGTCTTTCAAGTAGCTGGGATTACAAGTGTGCACCATCATGCCTGGCCCCAGCCCTTTTGATTTTATTTTGAGACAGGTTTTGCTATATTTCCCAGGCTGCCTCAAAGTCACAATCTTCTACCTTGTCTCCTATGYAGGTGGGATTACAGGTATGTACCACTGTGTCTAGCTACATTTTCTTTTATATAATAGTTTTACTGAGATGCAATTCACATACCACAAAATTCACCCTTTTAAAGCATACAACTCAGTGCTTTTGGTAAATTCAGAGTTATGCAACAAGCACTATTTTCTAATTTGAGAACATTTCTATCACTCCACCAAGAAACCCCCTACCCTTCAGTAATCTCTCTCAACCCTGGCTTTTCCCTAGATCCTGGAAACCACCATCTATTTGCAGGCTCTATGGAGTTCCCTACTCTGAAAATTTCATATAAATGAAATCAAACAATATGTGTCCTTTTGTGTCTGGCTTCTTTCACTTAGCATAATGTTTTCAAGGATCAATCATGATGTAGCCTATATTAGTACTTCACTTGTTTTTATAGCTGAATAAAATTCCATTGTATGAATATATACCATATTTTGTTTATCCACTCCTCACAACTGATGGACATTTGTTTTAACATTTTGGCTATCATGAGTATAGCTGCTATAAATATTTGTGTATAAGGTTTTGTGTAGATAGATGTTTTCAATTCTCCTGGTATACCCCTAGGAATGAGAGGATTAGATAGTAACTTTGTTTTACTTTATAGGGAACTTCCAGACTATCTTACAGTGGCTGCCCATTTTCTAATAGGATCAGCAATGTAACCGACTTCATATTTTTACTTATTTTCAATAACAACTGTTCTTGTCCATCTTTTTGAATACATCTACCAGAGTGGATATGAAAGATCTGAATTCTCAARTAACTAATGATGCTAAATATTTTTTTCATTTTTTATAGACCATTTATATATTTTCTTTTGAGAAAGTCTATTCAATTGCTTTGCCTTTTTAAAAAATTATTTTATTTTTTGGTACTGGGGATTAATTCCAGGGGCACTCTCCCACTGAACTACCCACCTTAGCCCTTTTTTATTTTTTATTTTGAGACAGAGTCTTGTTGAATTTCTCAAGCTGGGCTTGAACTTGTGATCCTCTTACCTCAGTCTCCCAAGTAGCTGGGATTTATAGGCAAGCACCACCTGGATGCTTTTTTTGTTTTTTGGTACTGAGGATTGAACCCAGGAGTCCTTTACCACTGAACCACATCCCTAGCCCATTTTTTATTTTGAGATAGAGTCTAGCTAAGTTTCTGAGGATCTCACTAAGTTGCTCAGGCTGGCTTTGAACTTGTGATACTCATGTTTCAGACTCCCAAATCACTGGGATTACAGGTGTGCACCATCACACCTGGCCTGGATGCCCATTTTTAAATTGGGTTATTTATTCATTTATTATTGAGTTATAAAATTTCTTTACACATTCTAAATACAAACTCTTGCCAGATCAAGAGAAAGAAAATTAAAAAAATAAAAATAGGAATGGAAGCAGTCAAATTATTACTGTTAGCAGATGATATAATCCTATACTTGGAAGATCCAAAAAACTCCACCAAAAGATTGCTAGTGCTAATAAATTCATCAAAGTAGTAGGTTGCAAAATCAACATGAAAACCAGTAACTTTCCTAAATACCAATAATGAATCTGCTAAGAAAAAAAATCAGGAAAACAATTCCATTCACAATAGCTGCAAACAGAACAAAACAAAACACTAAAACAAAACAATTTAGAAATAAATCTAACCAAGGAGGTGAAATACCTCTACAATGAAAACAACAGAACACTGAAGAAAGAAATTGAAGAAATTGAAGAGGACCTCAGATGGAAAGACCTCCCATGTTCACAGATAAGCAGAATTAATACTGTTAAAATGGTCACATTACCAAAAGCAATATATAGATTCAAGACAATCCCCATCAAAATACTAATGACATTCTTCACAGAACTAGAAAAAAACAGTGCTAAATATAAGCTCTTTATCAGATATATAATTTACAAATATTTTCTCCTATTCTGTTATCTTTACACTTTTTGTTGGTGTCCTTTGAGGCACAAAAGTTCAATTTTAATAAAGTCTAATTAATCAATATTTTTTCTTTTGTATGACTTAAGTTATATTTCCTGCTTGTACAGAATATCAAGGTCAGCCAGAGGTGAGGGACTAGGGATGTCTATGTTTCTTCCTAGCTGTGTGCATAGCACTATACGTGCATGTGACTTTCTGGATTTCCAGGAATATGATGGAGTTTTCCAAAGCCTCTTTTGAACATCTCATTGCCCAGTTTTTCCTTTTAAGGTTCTTGGTGAGTTTCTCTTTTGCTCCATCTGGTATTATCACTTTAGGTACCTGTGATGGCAAACAACTGCTACTGATTCTTTTTAAAAAGGGACTTTGTGCACAGAGTGAACTCCAAATTAGGTCACATAAAGATAAGACCTGAGAATGGAATTTGCAACGAGCTGCTATAGGGGTCCGGCATTGTCAGTTCTCTAGGGATGGGTCTTTCAGGAAGTGTCAATGCCCTTAAGTTCCTTCCAGTGGCTGCCAGACTGTTTTTCCCAACCATAATTATAATATTTGGTTTTCAACACTACCATAGAGAGAAAGAGAGAGATAGGAACTGAGCAGATTAAAAATGTACAAAGATCTTATAAGAAGTCTACCATTTTTCTTAAATAAATACTCTGAAATTTTGCTAGTCTATTCTCAGTTTTTAGGKTTTTTTTTTGTTTGTTTGTTTGTTGTTGTTGTTATTGTTTGTTTTGTTTTGTTTAGTACCAGAGATTGAACCCAGGGATACTTAACCATGGAGCCACATCACCAATCCATTTTAAAAATTTTTTATTTTGAGACAAGTTCTGGCTAAATTATTGCTTAGTCTTGCTAAGTTGCTGAGGCTGGCTTTGAACTCACGATCCTTCTGCCTCAGCCTCCCAAGGTGCTGGATTTACAGGTGTTGTGCTCCATTGCACCCGCCATGTTTTTGGAGTTCTGAAAATTTTGATTTTGACAATTTTGATTTTGGGGTTTGTGAAGGAGACTATAAGACATTTTCTTTTCTTTCTTTCTTTCTTCCTTTTTTTTTTTGAGGTGCTGCTAGGTGCATGTTTATTTTAGGGATAATAAAAATATTCTGGAATTAAAATGTAGCATTGTTTGCATAACTCTGTGAATATACTAAAAATCACTGAACTGTACACTTCAAGAGGCTGCATTAATTGGCATGTGACTTACATCTCTATGAAGCTATTATATAAAGAAAGAAATAAAAAAGAAAAGACTTTTTTTTTTTTTTTGAAAGCCAAGTGTCTGCTATACTTTAGAAAAGAAAGACTTTTCAACTGGGGTTACAAATCAATGTTCAGCAAAGCTTATATAGGGAAATCTTATTAATCAGTTTCACAAATGATTGACAAGCTTAGAGAAAAGCTTATGTGCAGAACTGTTTTAAACGGGCAAGAAATCTTTCTGCTAATTCTTCCCATCCCCTTGTGCTGTAGACTGAACCAAGTGCCTTGTGCATGCAAGTACTCTACAACTGAGCTATGCCATCCAGTTCTTTCTGATAACTCTGCATAAAATTCTTATATGCTCAAACACTGTTTTACTTCCCAAAGATTTTTGATCTTATTTTCTTAATAACCTTCCTCATTATAACAGTTTTCCCTAATTAAGTGCTTCACATTATAGTAAATGTAATTTAAAATAATTTAACAAACATTTTTTATAACATAAAAAAATTTAATTTGGAACATTTGTATTCAGAGATCATACTTTTATTCCCTTCTAGCACTCCTAAGATGTTTCTTGGATAATGAGTTCTTCTTATATATATTCATACATTTTATTTTCCATGAGAATTTTTTTAAGTGTACTTAACCACCAAACTTAGTGGCTTATGCCTGCCTGTTATACTGTCATGTATAACTAATTAGAACAAATAAAAAAATTTTTAAATGCAAATAATTCAGGAGGTGACACTGTTAGCAATGGTTAAAATATACAGAAAAATCTCTAAAGGATTCTTCAGTGTTCAGTGTAGGACTGGGGTTGTAGCTCAGTGGTAGAGTGCTCACCTAGCATGTGTGAGGCACTCGGTTTAAATCTCAGCACCATACATAAATAAACAAAAAAATAAGAGCCCATTGACAACTAAAAAAGAAAGAAAGAAAGAAAGAAAGAAAGAAAGAAAGAAAGAAAGAAAGAGACTGTAGATTAGTACTGCTTTAAAAAAGGGAGAATCAAGGTTTAGGACACAAAGTAACTGAACACTTAAAGCACCTAAATCTTTCCAACATGACAGAATAAATTCTCACATCATTGAAGATACATAATACTCTTTAAATGAAAAAAGACAATACCACAAATCTGCCATAAAAAAATGCAGATATTATGAGGTAAAACTGGTCATATGTGATTTTTTTAATATTTATTTTTTGGTTGTAACTGGACACAATATCTTTATTTTATTTATTTTTATGTGGTCCTGAGGATCTAACCCAGGGCCTCCCAAGTGCTAGGGGAGTACCCTACAGCTGAGCCACAATCCCAGCCCCTCATATTGTTTTAAGGTTAAAAAATTATAAAAAGCTGACCTCTTTACGAGCAGTCTCAGTAGAAAATAAATGACCCACACATTTATGGGTGTTCAATGATCACCAACATTTACACATTAGTGTATTTATATCTAGCTTTATTCCTGTGCCTATATATTTGTATAATATACCACATTTTTCTTTTTACAAAATTATAATCATAAGTGTAACTGACGTGATTCTGCAATCTGTATACGGGGTAAAAATGGGAGTTCATAACCCACTTGAATCAAAGTGTGAAATATGATATATCAAGAACTATGTAATGTTTTGAACAACCAACAATAAAAATTAAAAAAAAATTATAATCATATGCTCTATATAAAACTTTCCATACTTTTCACTTAACATATATTGCCATGCTATTAAAAGTTATCAAAAACATTTATGGCTGAAAATATTTCAAGTAATAAATGTCCAATATTGGACATTGTATTGCTTTCAGTTTTTCATTATTATTAAAATGCCAGTGAACATTTTTATATACATATCTTTGAATCTGATCACTTCCTTGGATCAAATATCTACAAATATTATTTGTGAACTAAAAAAAATCTGAATTTTTAAAAACTTTTTAAATAAGATGAAAATTGTTTTCCATTAAGATAACTTCATATGTCTCAGCCTATGAAAGTGCTCATTTAGAGAATGTGTTTATACAACCACCTCCTTATAGAGACTATAAGATCCTGTGGGAGTTTATATCCCTGTATCCTGGTATCCCCCATATCAATAAATGGTGCTAGATAAATGGTAACTAAACTGAAATTATAGTACAATGGAAAAATTGTACTCTTGCTGAAAAAAAAAGAAAAATTTTCACTAAGAATATTTAGGAATATACATGTTCTTCCTACCTCTGCTACCGAAGCAAAGGAATCAGTTGATGCAACGCTGGAAGTGTCTCGCAGGCCAAAGTCATCCACGTTTCCCTTTACAGTGGTGTCTGTATCTTTGTCTTAAAAGTGAAAAAGGTGAAAAGTTCAGAAATGAATAGATACTCTTGGTCTCTGCCATATTTCACTTTTTATAATTTTCTCCCACTCATTTTTATTTAGACTACAAGAATCTAAAAAGGAAAAAATAACAAATCAACTGGATATAACCTGACAATAATCAAAGCATATTCACTATTTAATTGTAAAATACTGCCAAGCAGAGAAGAAAGTGTTGTAAAGAGAATTTCACTTTTTGAAAGTGGGTGGAGGAACACTGGCGATTGAACCCAGGGGTGCTCTACCACTGCACATTACCTTCAGCTCACTAGCTCTATCTATCTATCTATCTATCTATCTATTTATTTATTTGATACCGGGGATTGAACTCAGGGGTACTGGACCACTGAGCCACATCCCCAGCCCTATTTTGTATTTTATTTAGAGACAGGGTCTCATTGAGTTGTTTAGTGCCTCACTGTTGCTGAGGCTGGCTTTGAACTCGAAATTCTCCTGTCTCAACCTCCTGAGCCTCTGGGATTACAGGTATCTTTTAATTTTTTATTCTGAGAGAGCAAGTCTCCCAGTTGCTGAGGATGGCCTCTAACTTGCAATTCTCCAGCTTCCACCTCACAACTAGCTGGGATTATAGGTGTGTGCCACTGCATCTGGCAAGACACTACCTTCTTTAAAAGAAAACCAGAAATCTTTGTTTTCATTTATCTGAATTTCCCTTCCATCATTCATCTCTAAATAAAATTTATTACCTTTACCAGAAATCTTTCAAGTTCTCTTTAACACCTCTAAATACCATTTGTGATAATATAGGGAAGTATAGTTTGTTTGTTGAAAGTCAAACCATAAACTTAGTTTAAATTCAAAAGTTGTGCAACTAATTATGTTCCAAGTTTTAAGTCAAGCAGAAGAGAGAATAAGCCACAACTGATACAAAATTCATTCCTATTAAGAATAAAAAATAACCACACATTTGGATATTTYCCCCTAATTTCCTTTTGGTAGAACAAGATTCTACATTTTAACTATTTATTACCTTCTAAGTTTAATTATTACTGTTTTCAGATGAAGTTTACATTAATTCTTTGAAAGTACTAAACTCAACCAGGCACAGTGGTGCACACCATAAACCCAACTACTAAGTAGGCTAAGGAAGGAAGATTTGAAATTTGAGGCCAGCATGAGCAACTTAATGAGACCCTGTCTCAAAATAAAAAAAAATGAAAAGGGCTGGGGACATAGCTTAGTGGTAGAGCACCCCTAAGTTCAATCCCCAGTACTAAAAGCAATGAACGAATAAGTAAGTAACCATACTTTTACATTTACAATCCTTCTACCTATAAGTGACCCACACTTATAATCCTAGCTACTCAGGAGAGTGAGGCAGAAGTATTATTGAGCCAGGAGTTTGAGGCCAGGCTTGGCAACAAAAGCAAGACCATGTCTCAAAAAAAAAAAAAAAACAAAAAAAAAATCCTACTACTTCCACTAAATGACTGATAAGAAGACAAAGTCCAAGGCTAAATCACTGTATTTCACAATTATTTTGGTAACTTACAGTTTTCTACCAAACTAGAGAATAATACAACGTGATTGGGCTGGGGTTGTAGCTCAGTGGTAGAGCACTTGTCTCACACATGTGAAATACTGGGTTCAATCTTTAGCACAACATAAAAAATAAAATAAAGGTACTCTGTCCACCTACAACTAAAAATATTTTTTAAAAAAACAATATGATTAATTTATACTTCTAAACAGCTATAAAACTGGTATCTTTACATCCTCAGTTTTGGAAAAATTCTCATAATTTTCTTTTCAAYTAATGTATGACTTAAAAAACTCATTCACACACTTTGAGATTATTTACAAAATCAGCAATTACAACCTTCAAAACTTTGTCTTAATTATTTTCCATTCTTAGTATTATCTGTGCAAAAAAGAAATCACGACACAATTTTCAGTATGCCAAAGCTTTTACAGTAGGATTAAATTTACAATGAAGTCACTTTTGGTTCCAAATGCCTCTTGCCTTTTGCTATTTTCAGAGTAGGACACAGATTTTCTCTTGTGTCATTCTACCTTTAAGACATTACCCATGAGCTGTTAAAAGTCTGTTTTATTTCAGTCAACAGTAACAGCCATTCAGTATCATCCAGATCTGTTACCATGGTTGTACTTTAAAAAAAAAAAAAAAAAAGCTTACAAAAAAAATAGCTCAATTCCAGAGGGACTAGAAAGATTTACTCATTAAATCCTACTCTACAAACCACAAACATACCTCTTATATCAGTAATTATTGTGATTCCTGGAATGGCAACTTATTAATTATGAAGAGAAATAACACATCTGTTTTTTAGAGAAACCTATAAAAAGTATAAAGAAAGAATCTTGGGCAATATCCCAAACTAGCTGCTTTAATTTTTCCAGTTAAAATTTAAAATACTCTTTCTAAAAAGTATCAACACGAGCTGGGGTTGTGGCTCAGCGATAGATCGTCACCTAGCACATGTGGGGCACTAGGTTTGATCCTCAGCACCACATAAAAATAAAGGTATTGTGTCCAACTACAAACAAAACAAAATATTTTTTAAAAAGAAGTATCAACACTTGTGGTTCTGAGAGACAGGGAAAGCAGCAAAATTTAAAAACCAAAGGTTTCATCTTAGTCAATATTTTTAGAAACTACTTACTAAATTTTTCTTAGTGGAAAAAAATGCTAAACCCACAGTGAGATATTATTACCACCTACCAGAATGGGTAAAATTGGAAAAAAATGGCAATTATTTCAAGGATATATAGCAATGGAAATTCTCACACACCACTGGTGGAAACATCATTTGGTAGAACCACTTTGGAAAGTTGGACTTTATTCTACCAAAGTTCAAGATTTCATTTTCTATGTCCTAGYAATTCTACCCTTGGATTTGTTTTATAAAAAAAGCATGCTTATGTACAAAAGAATGTTCATAAGAATACTATTCATAATGTCCTCAAACTGGAATAAAAACCTATCCATCTACTATAGAATACATAAATGAACTASAATATTCATTCAATGAAACAATGAAAATGAACTGCTGCTACATGCAAGGATAGGGATGAATCTTGCGAAGAATTATACACATGACATCATTCAGATGAAACTCATGAACAGGCAAAAGTAAACTATGGCGATCAGGACTAAACACTTCACTGGTAAATACGAAGGAAAGCTAGAAAACCGAGAGTGAGCAACAGGCCAGTAGTTCTGTGGGGAAGTGAAATGGGTATTTATTAGAAGGAGGCACAGGGAGTGGGCAACATTTTATGTTTTGATCTACATGATAATTGCAAAGAAGGTGTAATAAGTCAGTGTACTTTTTACTTGGGGTGGAGAGCACTTTCCTCTAAGGATATAAATAGCAGGAAAGAAAACAATATTGATTATACAGCTTGGTCCCAAATGGCTGAGARCAGAAAAGGTTCAATCAGAACTTTGAAGTGAGGGGAAAGGAGGATAAGAAAAAGAATGCTTTCTGTATTTCATAAAAGCTGAAAATTGTTACTTGATGTGAATTTTTTTTTTTTTTTCCGATTGAGGAAGCATCTATAATGGTGTTAGGTTCAAAAAGCCAAAACACCTGATTAGTCTGTTTAGGATAGGAGCAAACTGAAAAATCATCTGCACCTTACAGGGGAAGGCTTAGCAGCARCAATAGTATATCATGCCAAGCTTATACCACTCAGCATTTTTTCTCCCAGCTCATCAATTCTTCTTTGCAATTTAGTGGTGGGTTTAGAATTTTAAGTGGAAATGTTCCTTATTAATTTACTTATTTTGAGATGAAGCCTTCTATGTTGCCCAGGCTGGCCTGAAATTCCATCATCATTCTGCCTCAATGTTCTGAAAAGCTGGGACTACAGTGTGTGCCACCTGACCTAATTTAGGTAGGAGTGTTTAGGTGAGGAAAATGAAATATCTTCAGAAAGGAAAAGACACTGGAACTAAAGAATGCTTACTAATTAAGGTCAACAAAAAATATTGATGGAATTATTAAAATAAGCATTTATTTTGCATTTACTACTTTCCAGATACCAAGTTACATGCTTTGCATATATTACCTCATTTRGTTCTCAAAACAACCCTTTGAAGTATATGATATATTTTTTTTTTTAGAATTTTAATATTTATTTTGTAGTTTTCGGCGGACACAACATCTTTGTTTGTTTGTGGTGCTGAGGATCGAACCCGGGTAGCACGCATGCCAGGCAAGCGCGCTACCGCTTGAGCCACATCCCCAGCCCCTTAAGTATATGATATTAATTTGCTTATTTTATATCTCGAGAAGCTAAGGCACAAACAGGTTAAGTAACCGGTACATACACACAGAGTTAGGAAATATAATGGTAGGATTTAAAGGTCATCTGACGCCAAATTCCATACCATAAAACCACAAAATTGTGGTATCCAGTACAGTAGCCATACATGCCTATGAAGCACATCTGTTATGGTTTAGATGTTAGATGTCTCCCAAAAGTTGATGTGTGAGACAATACCCATCAAATACTCAGAGATGAAATGACTGGGTTATGAGAGTCTTAACCTAATCAGTGAATTAATCCCTTGATAGGGATTAACTGAGTGGTAACTGAAGGCAAGCAGGCTGTGATTGGAGAGGGGGGGGGTCACAGGGGGTGTGCTATTGGGGTACACATTTTGTATCTGGCAAGTGGAGTCTCTCTCCCTGTTCTTGGTGGCTATGTCCTGACCTGCCTTCCTCCACCATGCTGTTCCACCATGCTGTTCCACCATGATGTTCTGCCTCACCTTGAGCCAGGAGAAATGGACTGACTAAGGACTGAGACCTATAAATCCATGAGTCCCCAAATAAACTTTTCCTTCTCTAAAATTGTTCTTGTCAGATCTTTCATTCATACAGCAAAAAACAAAAAACAAACAAACAAACAAACAAAAACATCTAAAACAACATGAAATGTGCTGTTAAGTGTAAAATGCACAGTAGACTTT